CTCAGTTGCAACCTGTTCTCTCCATGTTGTTTTCTATTTACATTAAACTAAAAAGCCTTCAACATAAGATGTCATGGCTACTGACTTGTACACCAGACAAGTTCTCATTGCTTGGCCTGACTTCATGGCCAGCTGAAACAAACACTTCCACCTTCACATTTCGCTCTGGCTTGCCATGATGTGGGTGTCCCCCACTCAGGACCCTGATGCAGGAGGCACTTCAACCTCACCCCAGCTTGCTCTTGCTGTAGCAGAGTAGGGGCACCCCTCCTTTCCCCACCTAAGCCTCCAGGAAGCCCTTGTAAAAAGGGCTGAGGAATGATGGAGCCTCCCCTGTGGCATTTAATGCAGCAATTGGCTAATGGTTTCAGAAGGCACTTAGTGGCTTATTATGGTATTAGTGCCTGGTGAGTGGCTGGAAACTCAGCACTGGAGGGCTCGGACACTCCAAGGTATTTGTGCAGCCTCTGCTTTCTTTTCAAACTGAGAGAGGACAGATTTAGACTGGATATTAGGAAGAAGTTCTTCACTGTGAGAGTGGTGAGGCCCTGGCACAGGTTGTCCAGAGAAGCTGTGGGTGCTCCCTCCCTGGCAGTGCCCAAGGCCAGGTTGGACGGGACTTTGAGCAGCCTGGGCTGGTGGAGGTGTCCCTGCCCATGGCGGGGTTGGACTGAGAGAGCTTTAAGGTCCCTTCCAATCCAAACCAATCTGTGGTTCTACAATTCAATGGGAGCACAGGAGAAGGTGGTTTCAGTGGTCTCCCTCTACCTGCAGCTTGCCCAGGAGTGGGAGACGTGGAGCTGGAGATCTGGACCTACACCTCCCATGAAAAAAAAACCTGCCTGCCTGTAGCCTAAAGCAGAATAAATCCCAGCACAAAGCTGGAGCTGAAGCCCTCCCTGCAACACAAGCACTCCAGCCCGCAGGTATAAATGCAGTTGTATTCTGGATACCGAAGATCTTTCCAGCTGTGCTACCATGTTGCCTACAGGGCCACAAAACTGTGGTGGCCAGGAACAGAAGATGGGTACCCATGAGGTGGTACCAGACAGATGCAAAGGGAGCTGCACACCCCTAGGTGACAATGCGGCACCTGGTCCTCACCTTTTAATTGCTCACCAGCCCAAACATTTTTATTTTCTTTTTTTTTTTTTTTCCTGAAGCTCACCCATATTGAAGTTGGCTTTCCCCATGTAGCCGCTCATGTCACTCCAGGTATTTAAAAGCCAAATGCACCCATGTATTGAAAAAAATCAAGTGTTTGAAGAGCTGGGGACCAGAGAAGCTGCTGTGATGCAGCTTCCCTGCTTGCCCTGGGCCATCAGCAGCCACACACAGAAGTTGCAAAGCCTGGGCACGAGGCCACCAGGAGGGACGTTGGCCAGGCGGGAGCTGCGTCTTGCTGTGAGGACGCGCTGTAGGGCAGCAACGCTTCCCACAAACACTCTTCCAGTCAGGGGTGGAAATCTTCATCCTGGGCTATTAAAGATGAAGTCCCCGAGCCCCAAACCCTGCCCCAGACGGAAGTGCTTGGCTATTTATATGCTCCTGTGTAAGAGCCGCTGCAGACCTTTGGCTATCGCTATTGCTTTTTGAATGTTTTCCAGCCCAGCTTATATCCTTCCGAGATGGGGAGAGCAGAAATGTGCTTGGTGAGTTACGGATGTGGAAAAGGCTGTTATGATGTTTTCCCTTTTACGGGCTCCTCCTTTCCAAATGATTTTTAATGAGGGCCATGCATTTGAACAGCTTTTGGACTCACTGCTAAAACTGAGCTCTTATTCCAGGGAGGGAGTAGCTTGGTGCATGTTATAACACTATAAAGAGAAAAAAAAAACAGGAAAAAAAACCAAAAAAACCCACCCCCACACATTTATCCCCATTCAATTCCAGCTGCCATTTTATTATCTCTCTCAAGTGACACAGATTGTTGTTTGCCCTGAATAATCACTGATGGTCTTGTTATCACCCAACCCGAGCAGGAGGTGCAAGCTGTCATCTGGAGGTTACAGAGGCTTATGCCAGCACCAGGGTTTTGCCCAACTTGGATGCCTGAATCCTCCCCAAAATGCTGCTTTGACCCTCCCATCCTCTCTGCTTGCTCCTCTTCAGCCTCCCCAGCAGCAGGGGGGGCGAGTGGGCGGAAGGCAGGAGGCAGACAGGGCTGGGGTGTGCAAGGAGGAGACCGAGGGATGGAGGAGTGGTGGTCCTGGCCATTCCTGGTCCTGAAGGGAAGTGGTAGTTGCCGTGTTGGTGCTCCCCAGCCTGGCTCTCCATCCCACTGCACATCAACAAGCTGCTTGATGGAGGCTTTGACCAGCTTTGCCTTATCTGCTCATCCTCGCTATCTGTAACTGGTCCCCCATGTTCGTTGTGCGACCAGGCTGAGGTCCCGCCACCCTGGGCCATCTGCCTGCCGGCCCCGCTGCCGGTGGCCCCATTTTCCCCTCGCTCTGTCCTGAGCATCAGGACTTAGGTTGCTGGGGGCCTCGGCGAGGTGGGATTACTGGGCAATGGCATCTGGAGCTCACTGCCATCGAGGTTTGTCACATCCCCTCCTGTTTGCCTAAGACTGTAAAAGCCGAGTTAGAGGACAAAGCTTCGTAGAAAATAAAAATGTGACAGGGTTGGGAGGCCAGCAGGAGCCATAGGTGAGCGCCGGAATGGTGAGGAGGACTTGCTCCATGGCTCCTTCCCACCAAAATGTCTCCCAGCTGCTGGATGGCTGCAGGTTGCCCACACAGGAGAGCCAACCTGAGCATTGGTGAGGAGCTTGCTTGCCAAAACACCAAGGCTTGGTGCTGTGGAGCTCCCTATGGAGAATGAGCAGATGTCTTCAGGGGCTGAGCAGCTGATTTAACTCCTGGAAGGTTTCATACAGGGTGAATGGGTTTTGCAGAGTGTTTGGGACAAGGCTCTGCCCTGCCTGGGCTAGGAGGCAGCCACGCTTCTCCGCTTTGCCTTCAGGCATGACAGAAGATGAAGAGCAGCTCAAGGACCTATCAATCAGCAATGTGGCTGGGGGCCAGGCATGGACTGAGGAGAAGTCTGGGATACAAGAGCACTGCAGCACACAAGGACCTTGCATCACTCCATGGCCCCATCTAGGGATGGAGTTTGGCCAGGCTGTGAAAACAGCCTGCAAGAGAAGAGCCATTGGTTTCTCCAGCACTGAGAGACTGAGGGACACTGCCAGAAGCCCCTTGGAGGGGCTTGGGAGGTGATGGAGACAGCCGGATCCACCAGCTGAGAAACCTTTGGGAGAAAGCAATATGAAATTGGACCTCACTAGGGAGAAGCCATCCCAGTTTGAAATGGATCCTCTCACTGGATATGGCTTTGGGAAAGCCATGGCAGCACCCAGACCTGGGACCAACCAGTCTGAGGAGAGGCCAGTCCTGCCTCAGTGACCTGGTTCCAGCTCCTGTGGAGGAGGCACCTGCCCGAAGTGAGGGGCCAGACCCTGGCCCCCCTCTGCCCCCACAACTGTGTCCCGAGGGTCCCTCCCAGCCACAGTGCAGGGAAAACAGGGCCCGAGGCAGGCAGGGAGGAACAGAAAGCAAGATCCTTTATTGTACACAGTACAGAATGTAACGCAGCCTTGCAGGAGATGCACAGCCCTGCTCCAGTAAAGATTATTTCAAACCAGTCCTCAGACTAACCCCATCTGCGCTGCAGGCCTGCCGCGCTGGGCAAATGGTCAAAACCCCATCCCCAAGGTGGGGGGGACCTGCAACCGAATGCTCCCCACGGGTACAGACCACTGTGGGGAGAGTAACTGAGTCTACCCAGAGTTAATCTTCATGCTTCCCCACAAAAAAAAGATAACAAATCAGTCAAAAAAAAAAAATCCAACCAAAGCTAACTAAGGAAGAGAAAAAAATTTCCTATACAGCATTTACAACAAAAACATGTAGCCAGTGGGGGCCGGGGGGCAGGGAGGGGTGGATATATGAGTGGTGGAGGAGTGTTGGGGGGGCGCAGCAGGGAGGGGGGAGCTGGAGGGATGCAGGGGTGCCCAGGAAGCAGGGTCCCTGCCATCCCTGCCCACTGCAGCCTTGCAGCCCAGCTCGAGGCCATGCTGAGCAGGGGGAGTGTGGCTGAGCCAGCACCGGGGTTCGGCCTTAGCTCCCCCAGGAAAAAGACTGGAGCGGTGAAATGGAGTGGACCAGAGAATTCGGCAGCCATCCCAGGGGGCTGCGGCACCCTGCGCTCCCCCCATAAAGCCACAGAGGTGGCCCCAGGGGCTCCAGGAACAGCAGCTGGGCTGCAAAGAATAGCTTCGCCTTAAAATACAAAAAATCTACAAAAATCAGTTTAGAAACCTTTTTCTTTTCCTCCTATAACATAAAAAAAAGGGAAAAAAAAGAAGACAGAAGGAGATAAGTGTTGGGGTCTCCTCCCCTGAAATGCAACCCATGGCCCCCAGCCGGAGCTGGGGAGGAGCGAGAGGGGCATGGGGAGGGCCCAGGGGGGCTGGGACACCGTTACCTCGGGTTATCTCAGAGGGAAGAAGGCAGAAGGCTCCTGGGGTGGGGGTAGGATGCTGCGCCCGTCAGCTCGGGGGTGGCCCCCCACATCCCTCCTCTGTGCAAATCCAAGCCCTTTCCACCACGCAAGGCAGCTGCGTGGCTCGCGCTCGATGCAAAGCGGATTGTCGTGACAAGTCGCCAGGCTCGGCCCGGTCCCAGGGCCCTGGGTCAGAAACTGTGGCTTTAGCCCCTGTTGCCCCAAAAATACACGGGAGGTGCTGGCCATGGGCAGCCCTACACACTAGCCCTTGGACAGAGAGGGTGGGAATTTGGTGGGGATGCACACCGGGTATTTTAGACTCCTCCAATTTGTGTGCGTGCGGTTTGTAGCTGTGGTTTTTTTTTTTTCTTTCTTTCTTTTTTTTTCCTTAGGAAGAAAAAAAAAATCCTTTACAAAACCGTTATTTGCCCAAAGTGGATGCGGTGACGCTGG